AATGCAGTGTGTAGCGTCTGTGTAATCCAAAACGAGTTGGTAGACGAACGGACAGCAATTGGTTAGAAAACGTACGTTTTATTTAAAAAATTCCTAATTCATATGCATTTCGGGTTGGCTTAAATTCCCAACCCCTCTTCAGTGCTGTTAAGATTACACAAAAAAATATAATTTAAGGTTAGTTTTACGGTATTGGTTAGTAGGAACATAACTAAAAACGCGAGGTGATGATAACATAAAATTGCTTACTTGACATATAATGGTACAGCATAGATGTATTTTACAAAATTTTTTGATTACATAGTAGTATGGCATAGCCTATGATATGAAAAAAGTGGTATAAGGGGGAGGCTGTTTAACATATCATTTTTATGACGAACTGTATAACATAGAATATTAATTTAAAAAATATCAATGCACACTTACATTTTAGTTAGAATGTATTATTTCCGAATACAAAAAGGAACATAGTACAAAACATTTTTAACAACTGGTCTTATCCGTTGTTCGCTTAGTAACAGAATACCGACAAGTAATGTTATATAAGCAGTTACCCACATTCCGTACACGGGGGTTGTGATTTAAACAATCTTTAACGCGTGGAGGCGTTCTCTATGAGTTTGTACCATTGGGGGTCTATGGACATGCCATCTGAAACATTAATTAAGTTTTCTTTCGGGTGTTTTTTGATTTCTATGTGTTCTTTAAATTTTCTTTTATATGTGTCTTTTTCTACATGCTGTCCGTTCGTCTACCAACTCGTTTTGGATTACACAGACGCTACACACTGCATTTAATTTTATGTTGTTTCAATAAGGTAGTTAACGTTTAATACAACATTTAATTAATTTTGTTTAAAATTAAATAAAATTAATTATGAAATTATTTATATAATGAATAAATAAAAAAAAGTTAATAAAAAACGACGCTTTTAGCCCACGACTATAAATTAGATATAGTCAGATAACCTAATAAATAAGATTTAACAATTTGCAGGGCTTATCACACAAAAGCCGACAGAAAGAAGGAACAGATCTTTTACAAAAAAGTTAGTCTTTAATAATCACATTACAAGTTTAAATAAAAATACATTTTGGGTACGAGGACCCCTATCAACTTACAAACATATGGCAACAATATAATAATTATAACACTAATAGTTAAACAATACAAAGGAATATGTAATATGAGACTCTGGACAGGTTCAAACCCTCACTAAAATTCGCGTTAAAATAATTTAAAAATATATATATATTTAAAATTATTAAAATATAGTAGTTAGAAATAGATTTTGTATATGAAAACGCGACACTAACTTTTAAACAATAGTAGAATGTAAGTCTGTCGACCATCTCCGGTTGAAGATAGAATTAAACTTCAAGTTTGACCTCTCCCGCGCCCCCGAAAGGTTTCAAATTGTCATCCAGTGACAATGACAATTGACAATGAGAGACCAATCGGAAGGTGAATCGGAGGAAAATGAATAAAACTCAGGACATTGATGGCTTTGTTTTGAAAGTTCCAAGTGATGGATCTATTGTAGTGTGTGTGTCTTGCGCCCATCTTCGTCTCCATCTCCCGACTTCGGTTCGACATCTTTCCATCAACAGAAGTCGACCGCATCGTCCCGGAGTCGTTGAGACGTCTATGGAAGTGTTCATTCGCGAAACAAGGGACACTCCTTCAAAATGGACTATCTTGGAAACGAGAGGAAGAAACAAAGGCCGCACCGCCGTAGAACTTCCAAGATCGTGGAAATCTTGTAAGCATTTTTATGTATAATGAACGGGTTGTGTTGTTTGTAAACAAGACATCTATCTCTGACTCAACTGCTCCCACATGTCGTTGATTGTTACAGCTCAGCAGTCCAAACGGCAAGGGAGACGATGACAATATATATCGCATATTATCGTTAAATTTCGCGTTTTTCAAATACCCCTCGGCCCCCGCATTGGTGTCAGATTGGGATTCATTTTACAAAATTGTCATTGTAAAATGAATTGTAACAAGGCAGTTGACTTCGCACAATCTTATGGCGTACTAATAGACACATTAAACTTTTGTCAGTGGTTACGATTAAACCGCAAATTTAGCATCAATTGGCATTTTAATATATACAACCTTTCTCTTTCTGTTGATGACTGTAAAATGATAAATGTAAAATATGGAGAAGAAGAATGTAAAATTAATTAAATAAAAGAAAAAGATTCAAAAATACAAAACAAGTAAAATATGATACTTATATGTTATTTAAAGCGACAACTACAAATTCTTTACAGAAAATATACTAAAATAAATAATATCCATGAGGTTACATAAGCAATTTTTAAAAAATTCTTTCAAATTGTTATATTTTGTAGCTTTTCTAATTCAAATTTAATTTATTGTCTCGTTATTCCAATATTTTTCATTTTCTCTAAAAAATTCATTATTTTTTATCAGCTGATTAGACTTCGACCAATCGAAAGAATATGAAGTCCCTCCGAATTCCACTGGAAGATACTTTGGATCAATTTCTTTATGAAGAGCTTCCAAATTCGAACCATGCAAATGTATCTGAAAAAAAAATTAATCTATTTTGTTATTTCAATCTTTTACTATAAATAAAATACTTTGTTTAATAAAACATATCGGAAAGGAACTCGAATAAAATGGCAAAAATCCTTCGGAACAGGTCTCGTTTTCTAGCTTAAATTATATTCTTAGCCAGAAATATATAAACTATGGAAATGGGTGAGATTTTCGGATAGGAAGTATGTAACTTAACCTCAACATAACGGTAAACAAAAGATTTGACTTCAACACAAATAAGTAAAATCACATTGTATGACAAATTACTGTAGTGCGTGAAGATTTTAATTTTTTGTTTTTGTTTTTCTATTTCCTTGGCTGTAAGTAAGCATTTTATCATATTTCTCATCGTTCCAGCGAGTTTCATATCGAGGAGTAATTGATAAGGGTACAAGTCCCAACATATGTAAGCTAGATCATTTCTAAGAATTACAGTTTAATTAAGAAATTGTTCGTTTCCTAGAGAAGATCTCGGCTGTTGTAATGTAGCAATGCCGTTTTTTCCTTTACATAAAAATCAGTATATAAAAATGTTTCAAAAGTCTGACAGTTATTAAGCAGCCAAAGGTAGAAACCTGAAATACATTGAAATGTACATAATTTGTCCTAATTAATTCTTTACAAGTTCAAGTTACTTGTTTATACAAGTGATTTCAAGCTGTTGTAGAGATTAAGTTTACGAAATTAAAAAATAATTGAAATACGAAAGTACACAGTAAAATACATGACTCAAACTGAAATTGCAACAATGCCCATAGCCAGATGCAAATCGCCGGTAGAAATGACAGAGATACATAAGTGATTGACTTTTAGTACTCATCGTTTCACGTGGTACACAATTTCGGTCCAGAAAGACCAGCATTCTGTTCAGGTAGCAAATACTCTGAGAGAAGGTTTGCTACAGCCGAACGTGCAAAAAGCGTAGAACAAGTCTGAGACGACAAAGAGCTTAATATCACCAGTTATCTTCTAGGGAAAGAAATCGTATCCTGGAGTTTTGCGATTTCGGTTTCTCCATGCATCTGGTGCCCACCATTATATAAACAAACGTAATCAATATCAATCAAATAAAGATAAGAAAATAAAAAAACGGTTTTTTGTATTTAATTGAATTAAATGATTAATGACTACATTTAACCTATTATTTTGTTATTCTAATGAAAAAAATCATTTTCTTTTTAAACGTGATCATTGATTTTTGAATCTATTTTTTGTAACTTAGTTTATTTTTCGTATGATTTTTACTATTGAACCGGCAGTCGCAAAGTTCCTGGAATAAGTTCTTCTTTCAATACGAACATAAAGTACAGTACAAGATGTCTGTCGTACGTGTTAGTTGCTGTTTTTAATTTAATCAATACGAATTACAGCAAAAGTTATGTTTAAATTACAAGTTTTTTAATGTAAGAAAAATTTACCTAAGTTATAACTGTTTTTGTAGTTACCAAATTAAGTTATTTCTTTAAGATATTAATTTAAAAATATTTATTTTTTTCGTAAGTGATTTTTGTTCTATAAATATATAATAAAGGATTAGAAAAGATACTTACCCTATCTCTTAATTTCTTCGGGATGAACGGCCATAGTAATGCTAGAATAACGTAAATATATCTGTTGACATTAACTAAATGAATGCTTTTATATGACACAGGTAGAGTTTTCTACAATAGAATAAACACGAAAATAAATTAACTAAAACCATCTTTTCCATTGAATCAAATTTAAAATTAAATACTTTAAATTCTTAACAACAAATGACCTAATGAATATTCATTTCGAGAATCTCTATTACATTACTTATATTAACAGATATTATAGATTTAAAATTTAAATCTTCCGATGTGAACTAAATTGCTACAGAATTGCTATTGAAATATATCAACTTTATTAAACATATGCAAAGAAGTGGTGCGTTAAACTCTACTCTTCAAAAACCAAAGGTGAGAACGCGGTGTGTTCAATCTGTATTTTGATGTCACAAATGAAATTAGGTGGATTGTTCTGATCTACTTAGCTCACTATTAGAATGGTATAAGATTAAGCTTGAAAAGAAGATTGGTATGATGTCTTTTTGTCAGGCTCCTGACACTACATAGTGTAAGAGGCATAAAAGTAAATTATTCTTTGAGTGGCTGAAGATCGTTCAAGAGGATCGGCACTTAGGAAGGTTTCGTTTATAAGCTATGTTAGCCGATGATGGAGTTAGGAACTAAATTAAACAAACGTTTTATAATAATACAATCAATACGTTTATAATATTAACTTATGAACTAAATCGAATACATAAAATGGTTTCTAAAATAAACTTACATAATAAGATGAACAATTCGACTATGGACTTCTACATCTCGAATTCTAGATTGAGAAATTTACAATATATAATTATACAGGGTGTATCAAAATAACGTTTTGAAAATTTGGGGATTGTAGAGGTTGAAATTTTGAACGTTTTGATATCAGGAACCTATAGCCGGAAATGTGATATAAAGTTTCTTCAGCGGTAGGAAGTGCTTGACCACCCTTCACTTTGTTAGCTACTCTTCCGTCCATTAACCTCATATTATTGTTTTTGACTTCTTTCTATGAGGTTGTGTATCTGTCAATTAGGTCTGGAGTGCTACAATTAAATCGTCTCGCTGTCTGGGGAATTCTGTGTGACTGTGTGACGTTCGTTTCGTTGTCCTCCGTTCCTTGGCCATAACGGTCCTGTTTACGAAATAAGTCACCGACTTATTGGCATAACTCGACAGCCAGCTTCTTGTGGGCGGTAATGTCCCGGCATCACAATGACAATCAACGTGTCATTGCTACACTGAAAGAAACGAACCCAGTTGCCTGTAAAACTTGCAACACAAAAATCAAGTCAGTGTGACAATGCCGAAGGGCCTCCCTATACTTCGGCACCACGTGACCGAAGGGTCGACATCGCGTCAGCGAAGATCGCAATGAAAATTTGCATCAGGACTGACACCACTGTGTCTTCACGGCTAGACACAGAAACCGTTTCGTTCGGGCGTGTGAGCGGTCACGTGTGTGAGAGAACGGATTCTGGATGGAGGGAGAGACAGAGCACGGAAAGTGACTTACGCAGAGACGCTTTAACGTAACAACGGTTTAATTGGTAACAAGAGGCCATACATTTCGATTAAAAATATGCTAGTTTTTTGATACCTTTCTACGATTTGATAGATATTAGCTATATATGATATTACGTTTTTCCCCGATTTGTGAGAGAGAGAAGAGTTTACAGAAATTTCGCGTGGCGATAAATACCTTTTTTCTTGTCTTGATTGGGATTCTCGAGCGTTCTTGGTGAAGGAAAGGAAGTTCGGGATGTCAATTCGAGTATCCGTTAGAGGAAGTATCCGTTAGAGGAAGTATCCGTAAGAATGATAGAACGTACAGTATCCGCAAAGGTGTTAGACGATGGTACGATGGTTTCCGATGATATTTTAGTAGGATATAAAAATGTAGAATAAAATGATAGATTCACAAATATCCGAATATTGAGGCACTTAGGACAAGGTATGAGTGACAACTTCTCTTTCGAAAGACAGGTGGCGACTGCCTCACCTTGTTGTTCTGTTCTAATGTTGTACTGTTCTAATGTTGTACTATTGAAAGCGAGATATTATGTCGAAACGTGATGAGAAAGCGTCGTTATTAGGCCTGAGAACTAAACAGATGTTTAGCTCCCAGGTGTAAAAGTTGACAGTTATTGAACGAAAGTATAGCTACAATGTAAAATGATGAAATGATATAAACACACGAAAAGTCCGAATTTGGATCCTCACATCAGTAAGCTTCAAATCTTGTTACTTTGAAAAAGCAGTCCTCATGAGTACAGTACATTCTAATTTCAACTCAAATCAGATCAACAAATAATGGACAGTTTCTTCATTTCACAATATGATAGACGTGTCTGAATGCATTCATCGTTTGAATCAAGTCTAAATTCAGAATGGAATAAGCAGAAAAGATAAAGCCGACGAGTTTTCTTTCTTGAACTGGGATAATCTTTTGTAATAACAAAACTTGGAGAAACGTCAACAGTTCTTCTGCAATACAGTGATACAGAAACCAAAGAGATGTGGTTTCTGGGAGAAGAAAAAATTAGAAAACAAAACAAAACTCTGCGAAAGTATAATGATCATGTTTGAAAAGAGCATTTCGTGGTGATTTGTTGATAGCTGAGCAAGATACAGAAAGGAAAAAAACAAAAAAAAAATTACATAAGTTTAGCAAATTGATAAAAACAGAACGTTTTTGAGTTCTGTTCATAGACAAGTAGTTTCACAGATTGTAGTAACTTTATATTAATTACACAGATTTTTATTCGTCAGTGCATGCGTGATAACGAAAACACTCAATTTCAGTTTTGAAATAAAATCTACAGCTGAACAAAACGAAAACTGTGTTTAACTATTTTCAATATTGGAACAAGTTGAACAGATATGCGAACTAGAATTGTTGTTTTTAGCAAAAGAATACAGATCATTTTCTTTTATTGTAATACATAATATTCGATGAAATTTTACAAGCCATTTCTGCTCAGTTTTAATTTTTTACAATGAAAAGTTATAAGATTAAAAAAATCACAAATAGTATTTATGGTTTTCTGTCAAAAGATAAAAAACTCCAAAATGCATTAAAGTGCATTTTCTGCAGTAATATCTAATAAATTGTCATGAAGTGTCTATAGTGTATTCTATATTCTATACATTACAAAGTATATTTTAAAATATTAAATCCGCACATTTGACATAGATTTTATTAATTACGTTTGATTATAACATTATAATTTTGATCATTTTCAAAGAATAATTGTCAAGATTTAATAATAAGCCAATGATTATCTATTAGAGTATATAAGTTAAAGTAAATATTTTCAAAATATACTCACGATAAAACAAGTTATATAAATTTTCACAATTCTTGGAGTAAAGCAGATTACATGCTTCCATGAGAGACCTTTCATATCGATTATGATTGAAACTCCGTTTACTTGAAGACGATGATCATTCAAATAGTAATCCAAGTGCAGCAATATGCATTTGCCTAAATCTATCGCAGGAATCTTTGTTGTGTCCCAATGACCTGTAAATCAAACGATAAATATATTTCCTAGCAACTTATCGAATTAAATTTTGATAATATTTCATAAAAGAGTTCAACTATAATGTGGTCTTACTTGCTCTACCGAATCCTACAAGTCTTCCGCTGTCAATAAATACCCAAGACATGATATTTGCTTGTAAAACATGTTCTATTGCCGATGGTCTGTGATTTTTAAATTCAGCTACGCTTCTTCTAACTGAATAATAATTTTTTAGTAATTCCAAAGAACTTTGTTTGTTGTATTTTCTTGACCTCAGAAAACTTAAAAGAAATAAATCATCTGTCCTAGAATTCAAGTCTTCTTCCTCTGTAAATAACATGAAAAAATATGTTTTATGTAAATTTAAAGTATCTACTATAGCAGTTTCTCCCGTATCTGGCCCTTTTTTTGTCTAATTCAGAGGTGTGTCTGAAAACACACCAGTTAGCATGGCCCTATCCAAAACGTGCACAACATTATTTTTGACTACCCCAAACTCCCACAGCGTGTACATTTTTTAATTTTTTTAATTTAAATTGAATTGTTTTGAAGTTGTAGAAGATCACAATGCATTAACTCTCTCTAATGATGAAGCATTGCAGTGTTGTAGCAGCTCGTCAGCTCACAGTCGGAAGTACTCGATTTTCCAGAAAAATTCGAGAAAAAAAAAAAAACAGCTTTAATGTAATACTTTTAAAATGATTTGTAATTTTACTTGTTAAAAATAAACGTCAAAGTCAAAATAAATATTTATATATTATACATTAGACATGTATGTTAAAGTTTTATTTAAAAATGTATACTCCCTTAACCGGATTTTCATAATATCCGAAGCTTTTCAGTCATGTATGCTGTGATATGGAAGACTGTACTGCACCGGTTCTTAATTTTATGCCCGCTGCAGTATTCAAATAATGAAAAAAAATCTTAAATAAAATAAAAAGTTTCTTTAGCTAGTGTTATGTTTTTTTTTGTATATAAATATTTTACACCAAAAATCGAGCAATTCTTTTATCGCACAGATTGTTTAAAGCTGTCGTAGAAAATAACAAATCTTCCCAAGCTGACCTTATTTTATATACAGATATAAGATGATTCTGTAAAGGAAAAACATTTGGGTCATTCTTTATCTTTTCGAAGAGATAAAAAATTCCTTATTTCAAAATGTCAACCATTTGCACAATTAAATAACCTAGAATGGTTGATGGACTTGGTTTGACATATGTGAAAAATTATACAGATTAAACCTGGATTTCCAGGAGAAAAATTAACGTTTAGATGAAATTATTAGCTCTATAAAAGCATTCAGAGCCAAAATTGGATAAATAATTTGTCGAAAAATTCTCTTGTACATTTTCCAAGGAAGAAAAAAGAGAGTGGTAAAAACATATTTATTTTTCACCATGATAAAATCAAAAATCAGATCTCAACTTACTAACGCTAACCTTAAACATTGTTTACGATTGGGATTATCATCATAAACTCCCAACTGTGAAAAATTAGCAAATGAAATGCAGTGTCAAAAATCGTATTAATTCGGCTTTTATAAAAAATATATAATATGTTATACTAAATATATATTACAAAATGCATGTTATAATAAAGGACATAATATTTAATTTTTTTTTAATTTCGAATGCGCCCGCGCCACAAAAAGGTTGGGAACCCCTGCTCTACTGTATTATATGCTTCTGAATCAACAACTTTATATATTTTACGTAAAAACTAAAAAAATATAATTAACTATAGTGTATTATAATTATCATAAACTTTATTTCGTTTTGTAATTTAGAATAAACATGTTTAAGTATAATTATTTTATAATATAATCGAGATGGATTGATCATAAATATAATAGAAAACCGCCGACGTTTTCGTTGCTAAAACGTGAATGTCGGTGGCAATGTGTGTAATAAGCGCTGAGCCGAAACAGTTAAGAGTTGGTAGCTTGATGACTTGGAATTTGATACACAGTTGGGGGGTTCGGCATGAGAATGTACTCTAAGAAGGGATTTATCGAAATTCTCCCCCGCAAGGGAGAAAGAGAAAATTATGGCTTAACGTGAAACGGATTTTTGCCGTTTTGTGTGAGATCGAACACATTTTTAGAACTATATAAAAATTCTCTAATTAATTCTGGGAAGAGTACGAACGTAATTCTTGCATCTGGTGAAAACTAGTTAAATCGGCTATAATCTAATAATCTTCGCAATCGTTACTTTCTACCCGAGCAATGCCGATCTCATATCCTAGTGTGCATTATGATTAAACAATCCTATCTGGATATTGATAATGGTTAAATTTTGATCAGATAATCGAGCTATTTAATACTTAATTTTGCTGTTTTTAAAAATTGGGTAGAATATGTGAGTACTGCATAGGAATTTTTTATGGATTGTCTGTCAGGAAGCCTACCACACATCATTCGGCCAAGCCCATCAAGATATGATCAAATTCACTATCGCAATGTCTAAGGCGTTTGAAAATGTCTTGTTTGAAAAAATAGCTATTTTTCAAATAATTATGTAAGTTACACTAAACTAAAGTATACGAAAGCTTTTATTATGTTTACATGTTTCTTTTATATTGAATTTTATTTTACATATTTTTGATAAAGAGTATAACAAAAGAAAAATATTACGCTTACTATATTATAACTAAATGCAAACAATGCCTTAACACTGGAATAGAAATTCACTAGAAGCTGGGTAATAAAGGATTGTAAGTTTATTGTATCGAATTCTATTTGTCACACGCTTAAATCTTTATGAATATACTGTAAAAATAATTTCTTGAATTACGCTCTTAATGGAACATACAAGTATATTTAGCTTTCACTTGCAGAACGTAATTCTAGAGTTGGGAGTAATGTAAAAATATTGCACATTTTACAGACTTTACATCTATTGTATTATAAAAAAATAGCAATATTAATAAAAGTAATATAATACTTACTTAGGACTATTTCTCTAAATTCTTCTAGATCTTTTTCGTTCCATGGATATTGTTTAGCTGCTTTGATATTCTCAATCTCAACAATATTCATCGCTTTCTTATCAAAGTTTACTGTTGTCTTAAGAGAAAAAAGTCTACTAAATTAATTTTTTTCTAAAAGTGGATGAAGCGTAAAACGTAGAAATAATTATAAACTAATCCATACTTTCAGCATATGTTTAATCAATAATATATAATTCACATAAATTATGTATTTGTTTATAAATAGGAGTGAAATAAAGATAATGAATGACAGATCTTGCAGAAGAAATTAATGAGATGTTTAATCAATAATATATCATTCACATAAATTATGTATTTGTTTATAAATAGGAGTGAAATAAAGATAATGAATGACAGATCTTGCAGAAGAAAAGACTGGAGAAAGCGGGGACCAAGATCTAAGAGTTTAGATAGTAATTTTCATAAACGAGGATTTGATGCTACATTAGATTTTCCTTTTATACAGGTAATTTTGATTATCATTTTAAGTAGTAATATTTTTTATTTATAACTTTGNAATAATTATAAAAATGTTTATGTATTACACTAATATAAAATATATCTAATTATACGTAGAAAATATAATGTTTGTATAATATACTATTTAATGTAAGTTTTGATTAATTTAAATTTTTTCGAAAAAATTCGAGATCTTCGGACTTCGACCTGTAATAACTTTAATCTCTCTAGTTTGATAACATTTTCTACATATACAGTGCTATACGACAACATATCTTGCGATTTTAAATAGACAACATCGATAACAGACAGAATATACATATTATTACAAAAATATTTATTATTCATATTATAATATAATATATAATTTGATGTTTTACCTGCTTTTGCTCTGGAAAGCTGAAATCCGCGCTTGTGCCTGATATCGCTTCCAATATGGGTTATATAATACAAAACTTTTAATCATCTATTTACATCTTAATCTGTGTAATTCAGAGCAAAGATTTCGTAATGTAAACTAAGTTCAGATCTGTTTCAAAATACATACTCGAATTATTTAAAAAAAAACAGATAGTTTATTCAAATCATATCAAAAATCTTTCGTATTCGATTTTCGTTGTCAAAATAAAACACACAACATTCAGATTCCACCACAAAAAACGTTTTTTTCGAATTGTTCAAACGTTTTACGATATTATTGAAATATTCGAAAGTTTTACACTCTTCAAATCAGATAATTCCCTAAACTTTGCTGCTTTAAATAGAAACATTTTAAAGTAAATTCAAGCACAAATATTACTTATAAAAATACAAGAATGGCTTGTGTCCAACGCAACAAAGCCTGTTTACCGCTCGGATATAATCATGATTGATCCTCATCAATAAATATTAGGAATTTTTCATGTGCATTCTTCTTCCAATACGTCGGATACTAATTTTTGCTATAGGGTTGCCCTCAATTTGCGCCTAACAGAACTCGCGATAGGAACTGAAGTAAGACCCTCTTGGTTACTGTTTTGCGATGAGTTCAAAATGTCGTCTAATAAATAAAATGTTTTGAAATATTTACGAGACGCTTAAAATTACTTTAAAAACTTATTAAGTTCAATACTAAATATATTGTATTGCTTATTATGCTATTTAAAATAGAATGTTTATACGGTTGCTGTGTGCGGCACTCTGGGAGTGCGACGTTACGAGTTACCAGGCATGTCAGGAGGCCGTCAAATCGGGGAAGAGACGGGAAGGGGAGTGGGAAGTACGGAAGGTGCCTGACAGATACTGTATACACAAGATACAACCTATCTATGTAAAAGACTGAAGAAGGGCGAAAGCTCGAAACGCATATCTGTGTGGATTAAAAGTGGATGGAGAAATTATTTACCAAATGTCAATAAATTCACTAAGTCGTGACATTGAATCAAAATTTATATCGTTAAAGTTTTTTATCTAAAGAAATAAAATAAAATTATCGTTTGGTGTAGTGTACATTTAGCGTTTTATATGAGATAATAGAAATGATATTTTATATGAATATAAGATAGACACGTCATTAATTTTTAAATGAAAATAAATGGATATTTATCCTTTCCTGTACATCAATTTTTATAAAAAATTATATCATAGTTCTAAAGCTCACTGAATAAACGGCATATTCCTTATTGGGATGTTATAGACATAAAAGATTAAGTAATATGTTTCAATTCACCAGCACTTAATTAGCCAATGTTTTATTATCTATATCTATATATATATATATATATATATNGAACGATTGTAAACGTTCCAGAAACGTTGAAAATAGTTCGTTTGACTTGACGTGAACAGGAGACGTTCAGAAATAAAATCGGGACCAGATCTCTAATCAGAAACAGGGGACCTAATTCTTGCATTCTGTGAAAACGGGTAAGATTGGCTATAATGTAATTATCTTAATCTTCACTATCGTTACTTTTTAAAAACCCAGCAAAGCGGTTTCTTGCAGCTAGATTCTAGATTACTTAGAAAAACAGTCTTTTATATATATATAAAACTATATTACATACAAATGTACGAACAAATAAAAACCCAGCGAAGCGGGTCCTTGCAGCTAGTATATATATAAACCCGAGGAAGAAGGCAAATGAGAATTTTATTCTATAGAAAATCAATCAATAATGTACAAAACCAAATTCGTTATTTTTTTGTTTTAATGGGCAAGCAGATTTTCTACATCGTCCTTCAGTGTAATTATAAAAATTTCTTCATATCATACTCTAATCAGACTGTTGAATGTCTATCTTATATAATATATCTGTTTAGCTTACATTTTTTCTTAATTACTGTTTATATTATATTCTAAAATTCAAAATTTTAATGAAATTAATTTCAGTATAATTTGGGACAGTGTATTCAATCAGCAGATCAGAGTTTAAAGGATAAACACATAGTTATTTTAGATAATACATGTATAACTGAACTTTTGACTTTTATGCTTTAAAATTTCATCTGTTATCTCGTAATGTATTTGGCGTAATTCAAAAATAACGATAAATAATTTAACATTTTTGAAAATTGAATAGTACATTTAAAAGTAATTGTCCTGTGCATTCGTGTATTTACTTCACCTAATAGAACGATTTTGCACTGCTTTTTGTGAAGACCTTAGGATTGATCTGGAACTACTGTAAGACTGTTTCACAGCACTGCCTAATCTAACCTAAATTCGTTGTTTCATAATAGTTTTTAGGGTTTTCACAACATACCATTGTTGTACCGATTTTCCGTCGTAAGAATTTACGCCAAAAACCAAACAAATTTTTATGATTTCCTTCACAAATTGTATAGAATGTTTATGTTATTTTAATTAACGGAAAAATTTACCAATGAGAATATAGTATTCGTCGACACAATATGCACCAGCACACGACCTTATGACATTCGAAATAGTTCTAATGAAATATCTAGATTTTGAAGTTATTCTCTTCCGGAGTTGATGTTATGTTTGAACGTTGAAAAAAAATATTCTAAATAAATTAAACTTTGGAATGAGCAAATTATTTAGGGGAGACCGGGGCAAGATCGGCATGTTAAGCTTTACTTAAATTTTGTGTAATAAATATTGCTGTAAACTGAAAAAAAAGCTTTCCATATTGTCTATTGGAATGTTACCTTACTATAGAATTGGTTAAAATCAGTTTGGAAATAAAAATAATTACAACTTTACAAGAAGAGAGAAATTGACGAAGTTGTCCCGGTTATAGGGGCAAGATCGGCAACTTCTCTCTTTTTGTAAAGTTGTAATTATTTTAATTATTTTTATTAAAGTTGCCCCTGGTATCCCTGGTATAGTAATGGGGCAAGATAGGCACGTATATAAAATTATGTTATTAACAATGTATAAGTTGGAATTCACTATTAAAACAAAGAAATACAAATCCNCACCGACGTGTGCACCTGTGACAATCAATCCGTGGGCGACATCCTCCACATCCTCTTCGACTGCCCGCGCTACGAAGCCAACAGAAGAGACCTAAAAACCTATTGCATTACACACGGACAATCGTGGCCACCAAGACTGGACTATTTGTGCGCCTACAAAGGAAGCTTCGAGCATCTCCAAAAATTAGTAAATAACTGTAACGCTTTCCAAAATGACTTCTCCGGGCACCGAGCTCATTGTGACTCCAGCAACTGATTCGACGCCGCATCATCTCAGCTATGTAAACCTCAATGTAATCTCTGTGCACAATTGCTTATTATTTTACTCTGTGTTTCCACGTAACCGCTTTGCTACTATGTATCAATTTGTACATATCGTAATGTGTAAGTTGCAATTTTATGGTAATTTGTATCCTATTGTATTTCCTTGTATAACTTAGCATATTATGTCATTGACTAATATGCCCTTCTCATTGTATACCTCTTTAATGTATAGCTTACTGTTTTTATTAATGTTAATGCTCTCTTATTATTCAGGGCACTATGCCCATTCTGTTTTGTAACCACATTCTTATGCATAATGTGCTTCTACACCCTACCCTGTATTTATGTAACCATCCATCACCTTGTAAAGTGCAACGAGCACTGGCATACAACCACCTTTATTGTACGCATTGTATTCAGCTTTATTCAATTTTATGTTCCCGGTGCTGTATATATATATTTTAAGGAACTTTGAACTATTTTCACATTCAAGTTTTATAAAAGTTGATGAGTCATGGTAAATGCTATCATTTTTTTTTTTCATATCCACCATTATCGGAGTAACCATCGCTCTCTCTGTTCTAACAGTTTAATCTAAGTCGATAACGCAACAAAAATATCGTAATTATATATAATTTAATTTACGGTTTTAGTAAACAAAATAACCTCCAACGTGAAGGACATGAAAATTATAACCAGGGATGATATTGATTTAACTAAACAATGTACATGGAAACAAAAGGAACTAGAAGAATTTAGAGATATGGTTTTAAGTAATTATTTTTTATTCTTATAATATAATATTAAATTTAAGTAACTGTAAATAGTAAATTAATAACCGTAAATTAAATTTATTATATTATTATTATTCATGTATTTGGCATTTCTATGCATAGCAGTTTATTATTTAAGGGGTTTCCAACTTTTTTCTTCTATTACTCCCGTACAGAGACTACAATATTATTTTAATTGATTCCTTAAAATTGTTTTTTATTTTGCAACATTATTCGTAATATAGAATGCAAATTATTAAATCAGTTAAGGAATTTCTATGTGATTTTTTTATTATTATTATAGTTTCTTAAAACCATACAATGAGTGTCTGATTTTACCTTCGCTTCCTTTCATAGTTTTATTCATCCCCAAGATTATATTATTATTATTCTTTAGCTTAAGTCGTCAGCGTGTTGCTCTGGGGGTTTCATAATTGAACCCGAGAAAGCAACCTTCGATTTTTTTATGGGAAAACTTTTTGATTTTTCACCACTTTGTTACCCTCATTTGGGACAGCTGAACCCAAAGTGTTTTCCATATTTACGAATTTCGATGGAAAAAAATCTTTCTTGTGTCCACAGGCCGGAAAATAATAGTATTTAAGTGACTTAACGTTAGAGTTATAAATAATGTGGATATATTAGCTTAATTATTTTATAAAAGTTTGTCATACGACATTCAGAAAAATAAGAATAATATTTAATTATTAATTTCAAATTTAACAAATTAATTTTTAAAAAATATTGACGCTATTGGCGTTTTCGTGTCGGTACCCACTGCTCTGTAGCTAAAGTGATACGAAAGTGGTATTAATTGATAAAAGTGAGGCATGTTTAATGCTAAATACTAAAAGAAAGTTATGCTAATTATTGATGAATTGTACTCTGCATGATAAATTAGGAAGTTTCAAAATAAATTCGAATCCATATTATTCATGAAAGTAGAAACCTTGTTTCTGCGTCAATTGTCGGCAGTATTGTATGTATGTAAATTAAAATTACAAAACTGCGTAACTAATTATACGTTCTGTTAGTGGTTTTGTTGTGAATTTTAAAAAATTAAAAGCTAGTGGCTTTTTTTAGTGAGATATCATACAAGGAGAATTTGTTGATATAGGTTTTATCGGAGGAAATGCATATCTCGTATTAATGACCCTTCTTCAGTGGTATACTTTACAAAAGGAATATAGATAAGGATTACATCTTACACAATAATACATATAATATATATATTTTTTTAATTTATAACTCACATGATTGATTATTGGTTCCAATTGGTTCCAAGTTGACATTAATGAATAAATAAATCTATTTACAAGAGTTGTTGTAGAAGAAAAAATAAAGAGGGCTAAGTAAAGCAGTTATAAAGTAAATAAAGTTTAACAGAAAAGAATTTACTTACATTAATTCCGCTGTAACGATACATTGAAATAGAGAAGGTCACGTAATTTCATTCAATAATTTTAAAAAACTCAGGTAAGAAAAATTATTATAGAAAGGGAATTATTTGAACATTTGGATTACTAAAATAAAGACATAATATAAACGTAAACAGTCTAACTTTAGTGACATTCTGGTACCTATTCCTTTTAACAGTAGTATCCACAAGTGTTTCCATCCCGCCCCGCCTCTCCCAGATGGCCCCCATCTGCTGAAGTTGTTTTCCCTTCCCATATACATAGAACTGCATTCTGCAAGTGCAACCGTGAACTTAAGTGTAGGGGTTGGATCGTGTAGAGACACGATTCCAGTTTTCCTTTGAACTCGTAACGTTCTTCTACAGACCGTTGAAAGTGCCATTGGATTTTTGAATGCACGATCGCTGGTTGGTTAGCAGATAATCACGCCACACGGCATGATTTGCATAAGGATATGGCTCGGTAAAAACTGATTTGCATAGCGTTACAACTGGTAATCGCTGAGTGGTCGGCCGAGTGTTACGCCACACGTTACTTGCATAGTACTACAGCCTAGTAAGCACTGATTGGTCGACCAACTCGCATTCGACGGGTATAAAAGGGTTGATGTCGAAGCGGGAGTTTAATTAATTAAATTCCCAGGAAGATCAATTTTTAAGTACAGTTTGGGAGTACTATGTTCTAAGAGTTAACTCCGAAAGTTTGTCAATTCTATTTGGCACGTCTGGATATCGATCAGTTTCATTTAAGTTTGACTTGGGAGTTAACGTGTGTATCAGAGCTTCAGGCAAGTTTGGATACGTCTCGCCGTTTGTTCTACAACCGCCCGAAGGCGATTACTTCTAACAATAACTCGTTGATGCGTTGCAACCTCGACGAACTTGTTCAAACTCTCACCAAAGTTGTAGGTTCTACTGTTATAGTTACACTATTAAAACAAATTCTTTATTAATTCTAAAGTACTGTACATTAGTATACCATATACTAACACAAAGCATCGCCTCTAGTTATATTATCGAATCTCACTACCTTTCCTTGCCCAATTCCTTCTTTTGGGGTTGGGCTCTCCAATCTAATTTTACACTTATATCTTTTAATTATCATTATGTACACAAACATATTAATTATTATAAATTACACAATCTTAACACTAACACTTTACATGCACTTTTACCCTCCACTAAATTATTACATTAGACACCTCTTCCAGCCCATTTCCCTCCTTTGATTTTTAGTAACTTATGTGAAATTCTAATATTAATATAAATTCTCCTATAATCCTAAGGAATAATAATACAACAGTATCTATTACAAGATCTTGACTCTTATTAAAATAATTGGTTACTCCTTACTTCTCCTAGCCCAATTCCCTCCTTGGGGTTTGGGCTCTCTATTTTAAATTGAAACCTAAAATAACTACTTTTTATTTAATATCATGTACACAAATACATTTATTTATTCTTTTCTCTCAAACACAGTTTAAACACTTTACATGCACCTATACCATTCTTAGTTTACCTAGCCCATTTCCCTCCCTTAGATTTTAAATTCCCATATTATTCCATAATAATATATACTCTTTTTTACTATTTCTATTGCATAATAATAAAACATAAACACACTTAATAATTTTATCTCTAACTTATACACTAATACTTCCTAGTTTTTCTAGCCCTTTTTCCCCCTTATGTTTTCAAAATCAGGTAATATTCCAATTTAATATAAATTCTGCTATTACCTCTAACTAAAAATAATAAAACATAAATACATTTAACTCTTTTGACTCTAAGCAATTTACCAAAATCTCTCTACTTTTCTTAGCCCATTTCCCTCCTTTGGGGCTTGAGCTTTCTAATTTTATTTCATCAATTTAAACCATCTTTTTACTTACTACCGTGTACACAAACATAATAATTTATTATATATTATTCAATCATCGTTTAAACTCTTTTCATGCACTTTTACCAATTTTAAATTTTACTTCTTTCCTACTAGCCCAATTCCGCCCTTAATTTTTGAAATCTCGTAGCATTTCATATTAATATATACTCTTTTACTATTTCTATTGTATAATAATAAATCATAAACACATTTAATAATTTTGACTCTAACAAATACATCAGAACTCCGAAGCTCTGCTAGCCCATTTCCATTTTTTGGGGCTCGGGCTCTCCAAACTTAATTACATTAATATAAACCATCTCTTCTACTTATTATTTTGTACACATACTTATTGTATTATTTTAATTAACTATCAGTCTAAACACTTTACTTGCACTACTTCCATTTCAATATTACCCCTCCTCTACCAGCCCAATTCCCCCTTAAACTTTTAGAATCTTGTATTATTTTATCAATATACATTCTTTTACTATTTCTGTCGATTAATATTAAAACATAAACACATTTAACTTCTTGACTGTTACTATCTTACCATAAATCTCCCTAGTCTCCTGCCCAAATCCTTTTTTGGGGTTTGGGCTTTCTAAATTAAATTACACTTAAGCAAAACATCTTTTTATTTAATATACTGTACATGCTTTTAACTTTTATTCTATTATTTTTACACATTCATAGTTTATACACCTCACATGCACTCTCACCTGCCTCTAGTTTATACCTTGCCATCCCCTCCCCTAGCCCAATTCCCTCCTTAGTTTCTTACATTATCTTACCATAATCCACTATATTAATTTTTCTTTTATTCTTTTATTGTTCTATCAATTAACAATTTATTACAAACTCACCACAAATCCTAGCTCCCTTAATTTTCTACATACATTTCATTACCATTATGCTTTATCTCTTATCCTCTTAACTTATAAACTTGTACTCTGTACTTTAGCAAACTTAACTCATTGTAAATATTCACTTTACTTTCTCTCATCTCATCATTAACCATAGCCAGTAGAATAATTGTATGTGCATAAAAATTACAAAAACCTCTGGTTAGGCCCTGCTTCACCGGCCTTCCTGGAGGGTTAAAAAAAATTACGATTGTATGCATGTCTTCTGTGTGTGTGTATAAATAGCTTCTTCTAACATATCATCATTCTCCCATCTTCATACTAAGTAACACTAGCCACTTTTTCTCCTCTGCCTATCTTCAGCTCTAAAACATATTTCCTTCCCAAATTAACTAACCTTTTCTGCCACCTTTCTCTTTAAACATTCACCAATGTTATACTTTTCTTTTTCCCCGCTGCACTGCCCGCTCCGAACTACATTTGTTACCAAACATTAAGAAACAACAACAGCAAGACAAGATATCAGCAAATGTCAAGAACTGAAAAAGCAAAAATTCAACCAACTCCAAGAACCACAAAACATGGAAAAGAAAATAACCACAAGTACTGACTCTTCAAGGAACAACAATGTCTCCTTTCACCACACAAAACTACACGCTTGCTGGAGATTGTGTGGTGAATCTTTCCTTCACTTCCTACTATGCTGTTACAAACTCTCTCGGTAAGGTTTTCCAGCATCCCCCATTTCGTTTTGCTCCCCGTTGGATTTATTAAACATCTTTTTGGCTTTTCCCTCAGCTGGGTTGGTGGAGTTTTCCGGGTTTCCTCCACCTCTTTTTTCTTCTAATGGGGACCTGCTGCCCTTTTAAGTTTACAGTCCTCCCGGAAGGCTGTAGCTAATACCAACAGTGGTATTAGGTCTTTCAAAAGTCTTTATTCCAAGTTTGCTGGAAATCTTTATCGCTGGATACTTCACTGTGGACTCCCTATTTCAACCACTTTGAATTATCCAAAAGACGTTAGGTTAGGTGGGGCTGGGTTTCATACTACAACTTTCCTATCAATCTTTCCATTCTCCTTGGCCATTAAAAATTAGGTAAATAAATAAAGCAGAACATAAAACATAACAAACAGAATAAAATATAAACATAACAACAACACGTAACTTTATGAGCCCTCACAAGGGTCTAGCCTTATGAGCCCTACTTGGGACTTCTTTAAGCCCATTTAGGGACACTAACCCCAGACCACTCTTCTTAACATAACATTCTTGGCCTCTTTGTGCTCTTTGAGCGTTAAGGGTCCTAAAACCACAAAATAAACCTGTTCAGAATATTGGAATATTTGACCTTTATTTTTATTTGTGTGTTGGACACCATTTGTGTGTGAAACAAAGCACATTGTAAATTTAACTCGTATTTGTAAACTTTTTAAATTTGACTTTAAGCATGATCCGAACTGTGTCCGCCTCTACCTTATCTAACATAAGTAATTGTTTGTTTTTACTGTCACAATTAGACGCATAGACAGACACTGGGCATTTGTTATCAATCTAAATTTGAAAATATCCTGTTCGCCGAGACGCGTTTTAAGCAAAATCTCTTCTGCCAGCTAAATAATAAAATATGAACATGAATTTCTCATAGTACAAATTATTTTATATTATAATATGTTACAACATAACATTTCTTTTGTAATATCTTGTAAGCAGGTGTTAAATGGTATACATCTTGCTTAAAATTACTGATTTACAGTTAAGAATATTTTCACAGTTAAAATTTCTTGGCATTACTCTAAACAGCATCTAGCTCATATTTGTGACGCCCGTGTTAACGAGTTTCAGCTTAATCTAGTTGTCATATTAAAAAATTTTTAAGAACATTCATATAATAAAATAAACCTTCTTTTTGTTATTATATTTTTAACCAATTGTCGTGAATGTTTATGCTTAAATTTTTATTGCTTCTATCTATTTGGCTTTTTTTTTTATTTCAAAACTTTCTTTAAATTCTGTTAAATTAATGTCTGTGTAAAATTTTCACTTTTTCTTTGTTAATATTACAATTATTTATTGTGCAATGTTTGTAAAAAACTGAATTTATTTTTTATTTCAATTCGGCGATATGTTCTTTTAGTGTTACTCGTACTTTCCTTTTCGTTTCTCCTATGTAATTTTTCGGGTTGTCGCATGTGCATAGTATGGAATAGATTGCATTCGTTGTGCTTTATTTATCTTCCATCTAATTGCTCTGTTCAGGCTTGATATTTTGTATTTAATTTTGTAATTTTTGTAAGTCGGAAAAAGCTTTATTTTTACTTTGTCTTTTATTAATTTCTTCAAAAAAGCCTTGGATATAAGGGAAAGCTGTCCAGTGTCTGTCTATGCAGTTAGTTGTGACAGTAAAAGCAGATAAAAAAAGACACAGCTTCAGAATACGCAATTAAATAATCAATTTACTCTCTTGGTATATTAAGCACCACCCACCTCGTATTTTCTACCCATCTATAGGTAATAACAATCTATACCATTTTATAACGTAATATTCTTCAACTTTATTTACTTTATAACTGTTTTACTTATCCCTCTGTATTTTATCTTCCACAGTATATCTTGTAAATATATTTTATCCAGTCAATTACCCAATATTTTTTTAATGTCAATTTGTAACCAATAATCAATCGTGGAAGTTATAAATTTTAAAAAAATATTATATGTATTATTATGTAAAATTTAATCCTTATCTATATTCATTTTGTAGAATATACGGACTGACAGGATCATAAAGACTCGATATGCATTTCATCCTATATCAAAAAATGCTCTTTATATCATACGTTATTGATAAATGTCACTAGCTTTTAATACGTAAACTGCGTATATTCATTCTATTTAATATTTTTAGAAATTTATTGTACTAAAACAATTATAATGTAGGTCTTAATTGATTTGTAATTATAAAAAGAAACAGAAATGTCTCTTTTGATTGCATTCGTTAATTCTCTTTACAAAAATGTTTAATTCATATTTTTGATTGCGTTGTAGAAGAGACAGAACTGAATTCCAGAACCGATGATATCTTTTTACTCGGGTTTTTAAGATCAAGGAAATATGACAAAGAAAATGCGTTACAATTATTAAGAAATTATTATTCAGTCAGAAGACATGTCAAAGAACTAAAAAATCTAACACCATCGGCTTTAGAACACGTTTTACAAGAAAATGTCATGGGATATTTATGCATTGATGGTGAAAAATTCTTGGGATTTGGAAGAGCGAGTAAGATATTAATGTGTCTTTTATATGTCATCAGAAAAATGTTATAGAAAATTATATATTAACTATACTGACATTTTTATTTATTCTTTCATATAGGTCACTGGGATACGACAAAAATATCTGCAATAGACTTAGGAAGATGCATAATGCTTTACATTGATCTTGCATTAAATATTCATTCCTTTCAAGTAAATGGAGTTTCAATAATTGTAGATGCTAAAACTGTATCGTGGAGACACGTCGTTCAATTAACTCCTAGAGTAGTTAAACTACTTGTATCATGCTTTTATGTGAGTACATAAAAATTAATGTAATATGATTATTTAGTATCGATATGCGAAATAAGATAACAGATATTATATCTATTCCTAACAGATAATCCCGGCAGTATCTCAGACAAAAAGTAACAATAGCGTAGATTAAGATTAACCAATTATTATCAACCCATCTAGATTATAAGATTGTTATTAGTGAGTCGATGGAAACATTATACAGTAAATCATATCAATTAAAACTTTTTTAACAATGTTTAAACAATTATCGACTCCTTGTATAAGTCTAATTTTTTTATACCCAAAAAGTTGCCAATTATTTATACTTAATAATTGATCATTATACACTCCTCGTTAAACATGCGTTATTTTGAGTATTTCTTAATCCACTCTAAATGTGTAAGAAATATTGCAAATTCACTTTGGATAAAAAAGTACTTATTCCACAGGCTATTTTTATTTTAAACCTCACTAACCTTTGTAAAAATATACAGTATAAACTCTATTTAACCTTGTGTAATTTAATACGTTTTATCATTGGTTCCAAAAACCTTAAGATTTTTAGGAACCTGTGATTGGAACCTAATAGCCTTAAGGTTTTTAGGAACCAATGATAAACCTTCGATTTATTAATAAATCGAAGAATCGACGTTACTTTATTTCGGTATATCGAAATTGCGAATTTGGGATTTAACGTATATCCAGAAAAAATTTTAGCTCATATAATAGTCTTTAAAAAACTTAAATGAACTGTATTTCGTGTTTAGACCATATTGACAAAAAGATATGTGTATCTTTATGTTTCAAACATGGAAACTGCTGTGATAAAAACATATTTAAAGCACAACGAAAAAGAAACAAGTATCCTTGATTACTTTCAGAAGATAGGTTTAACAGTTTCTTATATTTGTGTAAAACATGTACAGTGGTACACACTAGACATGTTTTATACAGAATGATTGTACGGTTCATTCTGTACATAGTTGAAATGATCAATGAAAAGTACGTTGTGTTATATGAAACTACACAAATTTCGTTTCCATTTTATACACGAGCTAACAATTGAGTCGAAGCGCTAAAAATCAATCATTTTGTTTCAGGCTCCATGTAAGATGACCACTTGCCCGCTACCACGGTCGCTGGCATAAAATAGTAGAAAAAAATTTGCGTTCTTTGTAACTTTGATCTCCTCCCTGTATATCGAATATGAAATCAAGGATCTCAATTTTTATTGCAACATGGATGCCACATAGTAAATCATGTAAAATGGCAAAGTTTTTTCAAAATCGACTAATCAAATGTTGACAATGATCTTAATTCTGATAACCACACAGAAAAAGCTTGGAGGTAATGGATGGCCGCCATCGGTTAGACGAAATCTGGCCGTCTTTCTCCATCCATTTTCATCTCCACAAAGACTGTCTTTATCAGAAGGCGGTAAACGTGAATTAGTTAAGTCCACGACCACGTTTTAAACTAAAACAACATTAATTTACAACCATCTTACGAGTACACTTGAAAGAGAGCTACACGTGTTCATGGCAGCGATCACCCGACAAGAAAAAGCAAAAATACCCAGAATCCCATCCGGGAAAAACCCTTGTCCCCGTTTTTCAATCCGGGATTCACGGGAAACTCCTAGAGGAGTGGCGCCATCTCACCAGTCCGTGATTTGTCGCCGCAAGTTTTAATAAAGTTCTGCCTGAATAATGACTTTTATGGAAAATTTTATATGGTATGGTTTTTTGAGCATGTTTGAAATTTATGTATTCCGCGATTTAACGTATTTTCATCGGTTCTTTGAAAAGGTTACAGCGAGTTTCTACTGTAGTTTTCTATTCCAGATTGAATACTTGATATTATATAATTATTTATTTAGTTTTTATTTTTGAAAATGTAGAAAACTCTCCCAGTATCATACAAGAGCATTCACTTTGTTAATATGAATGCTTATCTCCTTGGCATCCATGCAATGTTTCGTCCTCTAATCCCGAAGAAAATAAGACAGAGGGTAATTATAATTTTTATATTTAAACATATTTACTTTATATAAGAAAACGAAGAATTACAAGTCTTTAATACAAGTTTTAAAAAATAATTTAAAGAAAATTCTCGTTTATATTAAGAACTTCATTATGAGAAGTTTCACTACTACCAAATGATATAAGTAATAAATAAAAATAAATATATTGTTGTTTAACAACATTTATAATTTACATATAATAACGCATGTGAATTAGCCTTGAATAACAATACAAATAGAATAGTGATTGATGACCATAATTCAGTTAATACTAATTTAAGGATCGTTAACGGTGTATTAAACGGAAGAGTGGTGTTTAATTTTGGCTGCTTGCTGTTAATGTTACGCCATGTTTCATGTCGAGTAGGACACAGTCTTTGATTTAATATTTTAAATATATTTCTTCATGTATAAAACTAATACTACTTGTAATTGCACTTTATTTACTATATTGGATCTTACTCAACTAACTCAATGTTGTACGGTAATTGAAATTTTCATTATTTATTTTAAAATATAAATAAAATTTAACAAAATTTCATGATATTTATTACAAGTATTAATTTTAAGGTGGTAACTTATGGAAGTTTAGAGACTAGCATAAAGTAAATATGCAAGCTTCTATGGTTTTTAGAATAGATTTATTAACCTGAAGAGTTTTCTAGGTACATGTTCATGGTTCGAACATGGAAGCTCTTCATAAAGAAATCGATCCAAAGTATCTTCCTGTAGAATTTGGAGGAACTTTAAATTCTTTCGATTGGTCCAGTCCGAATCAACTGATAATGGAAAACGAAGAATTTTATGTAGAAAATGAAAAATACTGGAATAATTAAAACCTCAAGTCAAAGAGGAATTTAGAATAATTCCGTNAGGATTATTTATAAACTGGGTATCATGGCTGAATACATATTTATACAGCTTACACATTTATTGTCTATTTTCGTTGTTTTCCTTTTAGGTGACAAAATTAAAAGATGGATGTAGTACCATCAGTACAAGATATTTTTGCTTATGTCTGTATTCTTTCGTGGTTAAGACAGAATATGATATTAAATTTGAATTTTATTATTATGTAAAAAATCTGTATATTTACAGTACTAAATAAAACACAAATAGACATATCCTCGTTAGCTTTACTTTATACTGTCATCTATCACTTTGTTATCCAGTTCCATTCTAATCAGCATATTTTTACGTCGTAAAGAAGTTAGATTATANACCAATTTATCAACTTATATATAGTTGGAATGCCTTAAAAGAAGAATATAAAGAATTGTGTACTTACGGACAATTTAAACGGGCTGTAAAAATATTGATATGTGATTAGTTGAGTGTATTTTTTTTGTTGTTATTGTATTTTTCTTCTCTGTTCTTTTTTATTGTTTTGTTGATTGTATACTTGGTAAACGTCTGTATCATTAATTTTTCTTTGACCCTTGAAAAAGGCCAATGGCCATAGGGTCGTATGATTAAATAAATTAAATAAAAAAAATAATTCTAGACGATAGTTTTTCGTATTTTGGTGTGAGTTTTATATTGATCTTTCTTGTTTCTTTGTCTGTTTCTTCGTACAATTCTCTGATATAAGGGAAACTGATGGATTTCATTTTTGAATCTTCGGCCAACTAAAATTATATATGTATAATTTTAATTGGCTGAAGAGGGGCATGTTACGCCTGAACCGTGTATTTTAAACACGTATCAACTGAACTAAATAAAGATGATAGAACGCCAAGTGTTTGAATTTATTACACTACATAGTGTTTAAGAATCAAATAATAATAATAATAAGCGCAGAGCCCAAACGGTTAGGAGTTGAAATCTGGTACACTGTTAGGGTACGTCAAGAGAACCTACACTAACAAGGAATTTTTCGAAATTCTCATTCGCGGGGGAGAAAGAAAGAAATAAGGCTTATACTAAAGAACTCAGCTTCTACTGTACTATTTTACATGCATTTTTTTAAAACTGCATTTTAGTAGGATATCACGTGGCGATGAAAGAAGTGTATTCCTGACAATGGAAGTAACAGTGGAAGTCTTAAGAGAAAGCTACATGCGTGATTTACAGGCGCCGATGCTGTTTTTAAATTTTGCGGGAAATCCAACATATTTTTAGACTCATCTGAAAATTCTGTAATTAGTATGGAAACGGGGACCTAATTCTTGTATTCTGTGAAAACGGGTAAGATTGGCTATAATGTAATAATCTTAATTTTCGCTATCGTTACCTTTTGCACGAGCGATGCCGGGCTTATCTGCTAGTTATTGAATAAATCAAAATATTTTATAATTGAAAAAATCTAGAAACAAAGTATAACTTTTCTAGCTGTTATAAGATTTTATTCAAAAAATAACTTTTACATTATTATTAATAATCGATGACATTGAGTATGGCAACATCTGTGACGAAGATTTACTGTGAAAAATTTTATAATACTAATTCGTATAAAATGCTAGTTTTTTTAACTTTTAGGATTGTGATGAGCTTCACAAAAAATTGTAAATGCTCATAAGAAATTAAATCGTCAATAAGTCAGATTCCGTTCTACATACAACACGTGACTCCTCTATTTCTTTATTATCTTCATTCTTCACCAAATTCTATTAGTTTAAATGCCCTTCATACAAAAGCTATCATGCTGAATGCTATTTCTTAATTGTTTATTCTATTCTGATATATTAAACGTAACAAATACCAATGCACGCAAAGGCATGCATATTCAAGGAAGTTTATTCCTTTTTAACAATTTTGATTTCGGTCGGTAAAATCATTGAAATTTGCAAACAATTGGAGAATCAACTTTGATATCATTCCAACATTTCCTTTTCTTATATATATACATAATAGTAGGGAATGTAAGACGATACGAGATTTTGACATTAAAATTATGTTTGTTTTTATTTTTTTTTAAATTAACAAAAGATATCGATAATTTTGTATGAAATTCTGTTCTTACTGTAATTAAATATTAAAGTATGTTTTATTTACGATGCAACAATAAATGAATGTCCAATGACTTTTCATTAGTGAATATTGCAGGACAAATGTGACAGTTGAATAGGCACGCAGATGATTGGTTAGAAGTTCTGTTCGAAACGGTTTGTTGTTCTGCACTTTCTGAACAGAAACTCTGAAGATATTGTTTTGATTTTTCACTTTCGTTTAACAGTTTGTCATTTTCTGTTTCTGAATCTATAATTTCTATTTCAGTTTTATCTTCAAATCTCGCTGAATCTCTTAAATTTATTGTCTCGATTTGTTTTGTTGAACATTCACCTTCAGATTCCTCAACAACAGTTTGGGAACTTTCAGATTTTTCTGTAATTTCCTATAGAATAAAATTTTTAGATGTTACAAAAATATCTTTCACAATTAAAAAAACTGTTTAGTATTAAAACCATTAAACCGATATTAAAATAAATTCTGGATCTACTGAAAGTTTGTCGTTTAGTTTATTAATAAACGAGCAAAAAATTATGGAAAACATTTAATTCCATTTAAAATCATTTAAAAGTAACAAATGCTTTACTTACAAAAACAGCATATTCTAAGATATGTTACCATAAAGAGAGCAAAAATCTTTTCTAAATTGAAAATAGGAGTGAGATAATTTCAATTTCTTTGTTATAAGTAATATATTTATTGTTGTAATAAGTGTAGCAAAGTTTTTTTTTGTGTCGTAGAATGTGTCACATAATAAAATGATCAGTTCAGTATTTTGTTTCGAAAATTATTAAGTAAATTTCAAGCAAAAACAAATGCAAAAAAGTAGTGTTTCAAACACAATGTCATACGTAAACTTTCTGAATTTAAAAATTATTGTATCAGAAAATGTTTTATCATATAAAATTAATTTCTTGCAATAAGGAAATTACTCCTTGTTTCGTCCAATACTTTTGAGTGCATGGTTTGTCTATCTTGTTTGTTAATGAGAAACAGTACACCAGAAGAAAAGCTCAAATTAAAACCATAAAAATTTTATAAATTTTCATGCTGTCAATCCTGTTTTGGATTTGTTTTTTCTGTGATAAAACTATTTATTGAAATATTCGAATTTTTAAAAATTTTATAAAGCATTAAACAGCTCAGGCTACAACTTTATGAATGACATTATGATTGTATGAGACCAGTCACATATTTCAGAAAAAATATATTAGTTCCACAACACTATCAAGAGGACCGTAGAATAATGTGAAATCTTAATAAGTCTAACATCGTGTGTCCATCCTTATTTCTAAGAAAAGTTTTTTAAAGCCCTTCTTTTCGTCTGCAAGACTAAAAGAAATGACATAACTTTTTATTTTTTACATACTTTTTCTGTAAAAACACTTTTTGTGGGGGGTTTTATTTCGCAGGAATTATTTCCCGGAAATTTTTTTGGATGTTAGATTCGCGTTTAAGCGAAAATAATTATTTCATTCAAAAAATGAATTTTTTGTGGATTTCTTAATTGCATTTGAATCGGAACATGGGTAGCAAAGGAGTTAAACAAATGTGTTTCTGGCCTCTACTACGTTGTAACATTGCCGTGCTGAGCTGAGTTGACCTGGAATGTCGAGCACCTTCCTAAGTCAAGCTGCTCCAGTGTGGATCTTTCTAAATTCATTTGAGTGTGAGATTACGAGGGCACAGGGGTAATTCCCTAATTGCCACTTACACGTCAAGTTTGTAAAACTTGCCCACTTTGTCGTTCGGATGGCTTTTATCGAGTGGCGAGGAAGGTGTGCAAGTCGGCAGGCGTCCTTTCAGAGAGGGAAAATAGGTTTAACAAAATAACAAAGCGTTTATTATACGGCTAACACTAAAATACAGGAGGCTACACAGAGTTAAATGCATATATCTATAGGTTATATAGGCAAGAGGCGATTAACATAAGATTACAAAGTCTATGATTGACAACTGCTTAGTCTATTCTATGACAGCTATGCCTACTTCCCTTACGAGAAAGGGTTGGCAGTCCACTGATAATTACCTCTAAAGTTAGAGGAGTCCTATAGGCGATGATGACAGTTTTTTATGAAAGCGTTGGGCGTTGTCAATGTCTTCTACCGTTGTCTTCTTTGGGAACTAGGTCGAGTTTGTTCCATGGAGGTGCGCCAGACGGGGAATCACTAAGACCGCTTATAACTTCCGTGTGCGAACTCTCGAGCTTCCGGTGGCTCGCTTTTATATCATTGTCGTGGGAAATCTAACACGCGATAGACTTTAGTTGACGATGAGGGTGCATTCTTGACAGCTATGTGTCAACTTTCCGACTGACTTGTTACTACAACCAGTGACCTCTGATCTAATTTCTCCCTCGCCATTTTTTCTAACGAAGACGTTTACATTTTGAAAACAATTGACATAAAATTTTTGATTTTAATAACCCCGTGAAAATGCGCGGGCTCACGTGAACATTGCAAAAAATACACATTTACTGCATGCAAAGTACTAAACTATACAATTTTAAAAATTGTATATCTGACCATCAGCAACATGAGGAATCGTGTATATTTCAGAAAGCTTTTGTGACATTAGTATTAGGATTGATAATATAAAGCACCACAACACGTAGGCAATCTGTCAAAGGAATTTGCATTCCGAATTACTTTCTATGAGAAACTGCTCTTTATTTCGGTTTTAAACATGTGAAAAATTGTCGTAAGGCTCAATGTGATGAGCGGTGAATGAAGTGCAAACCTGCAACTTCAACAAGTGTTCAGTAATTTTACCCATTAGGTCGCTGGTGGGCTATTTCGCTGTTAGTAGAGAAATTATAAGTCCACTCGCTTTTCTGTTTCCACAAAATTTTCTTACTTCAGATAACACGTCTGATTTTTTACATCTCAAATTACATACCAACTAGATTATTGTAACTACAAGCAACTGGTTTTAATATAAGAGAATAATAATCGTTTGGGTACAAATTAAAACACAGGAAAAAATCTATGATTACATACTGTACAATAATAAATAGATATAAGTATATAATTTCTCATAGTAAAGAAAGAACAAATAAAATATTACAATACGTACTTCAAAAAGAGAATGACTTTGAAGGTTGTGTCTGTCTAAATGATCTAATTCGATATATAGTTTATCGCATTGATTGCAGCTCACTAATTCCTTTGAACTTGCTATCTTCCGGAGTGTATGATGGTTGGCATTGATGTGCACTTTCAAGTTAGTTATTGTTGTATACTTTTTATCACAATAACCACAATGAAATGGCCTATATTTCGTAGGATGACTCATGATTTCAGTTACGTGTACTTTCTTAACCTAAAATCCAAATAAAAATTTCTCATTTATATAAATTTCGGCGTTATAAATGGTTTCGCTTTGTAACTTTACTGATTTTTTCGATCTAATAACAATTCGTTAATTATTTTATTGTTTCTTCACAAAGCATTGAAATTGATGTTATTGTTAACCAATTAATCAAGACTTATCAGATGATCATGCGGCTAAAGGTTCAATCTAATATTCTTAAAGATCTGGGATTGAATCCTCGCGAAGAAAGTCTCCAAGAAGTTTTAAAGGTGATCTGTCTCAAATATGTCTGGTTTCATTTCTTTTCAACCAGCTGCCGTCTTGTTAGCACGATAATCACGATGGTCCAACAATGGCATTTTCGCTGCTTACTAGTGTCAGAAAAAGTGAAAAATCAAATACTAAAACATTCAGTTTTGAATAATTATTCTAAATATTGGATTATAAATATAGGATACAAATAATAAATGCTGATTTATTCCTTATTGTAACTTAAATGTTTTGAAATTTCCAGTAGAGGTATTTAACTATTTCAATTTAAAGTAAATTAAGCTTTTACTAAATACAATGAAGTGATATGAAAATGAAGTGCTGCACATATGAAGAAAACACAGATCACTGCACGAGCCAGCTAGCTGAAGAGGCGTGAATCCACAACCACTGTTAATACAGGGTGGGATAAAAGGTCACTTAACACCCTTGCTACAAAATATAAAATGTTCTCAAAATTAATTCGTTCATGTCTGGAACATATTAGACCAAGTAGGAAACAGATTGATGTGTGTTACACACATAGCCGCCATAAAGATGGCGGTCGTATTAAATGCAACTCCGAAACTGTAAATGGAAAACAGGTCATGCCACATATCATTACGGGTCAGAATTTCACAAGGAATTGGTTGCTGAACGATGTTATTGACCTACCTGGAACGGTTAAAAAATTATGCACGTTACATGATGTGCTCAACTTACATTCTTTGNTGTTTGTTTATATTTTTTTTTAAATTAACAAAAGATATCGATAATTTTGTATGAAATTCTGTTCTTACTGTAATTAAATATTAAAGTATGTTTTATTTACGATGCAACAATAAATGAATGTCCAATGACTTTTCATTAGTGAATATTGCAGGACAAATGTGACAGTTGAATAGGCACGCAGATGATTGGTTAGAAGTTCTGTTCGAAACGGTTTGTTGTTCTGCACTTTCTGAACAGAAACTCTGAAGATATTGTTTTGATTTTTCACTTTCGTTTAACAGTTTGTCATTTTCTGTTTCTGAATCTATAATTTCTATTTCAGTTTTATCTTCAAATCTCGCTGAATCTCTTAAATTTATTGTCTCGATTTGTTTTGTTGAACATTCACCTTCAGATTCCTCAACAACAGTTTGGGAACTTTCAGATTTTTCTGTAATTTCCTATAGAATAAAATTTTTAGATGTTACAAAAATATCTTTCACAATTAAAAAAACTGTTTAGTATTAAAACCATTAAACCGATATTAAAATAAATTCTGGATCTACTGAAAGTTTGTCGTTTAGTTTATTAATAAACGAGCAAAAAATTATGGAAAACATTTAATTCCATTTAAAATCATTTAAAAGTAACAAATGCTTTACTTACAAAAACAGCATATTCTAAGATATGTTACCATAAAGAGAGCAAAAATCTTTTCTAAATTGAAAATAGGAGTGAGATAATTTCAATTTCTTTGTTATAAGTAATATATTTATTGTTGTAATAAGTGTAGCAAAGTTTTTTTTTGTGTCGTAGAATGTGTCACATAATAAAATGATCAGTTCAGTATTTTGTTTCGAAAATTATTAAGTAAATTTCAAGCAAAAACAAATGCAAAAAAGTAGTGTTTCAAACACAATGTCACACGTAAACTTTCTGAATTTAAAAATTATTGTATCAGAAAATGTTTTATCATATAAAATTAATTTCTTGCAATAAGGAAATTACTCCTTGTTTCGTCCAATGCTTTTGAGTGCATGGTTTGTCTATCTTGTTTGTTAATGAGAAACAGTACACCAGAAGAAAAGCTCAAATTAAAACCATAAAAATTTTATAAATTTTCATGCTGTCAATCCTGTTTTGGATTTGTTTTTTCTGTGATAAAACTATTTATTGAAATATTCGAATTTTTAAAAATTTTATAAAGCATTAAACAGCTCAGGCTACAACTTTATGAATAAAGAAGTTAGATTATAATTGATCATAAAAAATTATGAAAAGATTATAAAAAACTAAAAAATTATTTTAAAAATTTATAAAAAGCTTTAAAGAATTTTTAATTTTTACATTTTTACCTATGTTTACATTTTTCAAATTCCTTTCATAGTAATGTAACCCAATTTTCAGTTATTTTTATGCTTCAATTTTTACTTATACAGTTTTTACTTTTAATGATTTCTACACTTTCTTTAAATTTTTCGTTGTATGTTTTTGTTCCTGTATGTAAAATTTTTATGTTATTTTGGTCTATATTGCAGTCATTTAATGTGCAGTCATCATGGAATGCGGAGTTCATTCTGTGATATCTCAGATCTGAAGCATGTTGTTTAAGTCTCACTTTTAATTTTTGTTTCGTTTCTCCTATGTACAACTTGGTATCATTACATGTACACGGGATCTTGTATACTATTTAATACAATTTTTATTTGTTTTTGCGGTTCTTTCCTTTTCTTCGTTGGTTGTTTGGCTTTAATTTTGGTTTTTTTGGCTTTAATTTTGGCTTTAATTTTGTTTTTTTTGTCCGCTTGGTGTCCTTGATGCATGGCTAACCGTCGTTCCTTCTCATGTTGTGTCTGCAATTTAAAAATTTTGGATAATGATTTACTNCGATAGTTTTTCGTATTTTGGTGTGAGTTTTATATTGATCTTTCTTGTTTCTTTGTCTGTTTCTTCGTACAATTCTCTGATATAAGGGAAACTGATGGATTTCATTTTTGAATCTTCGGCCAACTAAAATTATATATGTATAATTTTAATTGGCTGAAGAAGGGCATGTTACGTCTGAACCGTGTATTTTAAACACGTATTAACTGAACTAAATAAAGATGATAGAACGCCAAGTGTTTGAATTTATTACACTACATAGTGTTTTAAGAATCAAATAATAACAATAAGCGCAGAACCCAAACGGTTAGGAGTTGAAATCTGGTACACTGTTAGGGTACGTCAAGAGAACCTACACTAACAAGGAATTTTTCGAAATTCCCATTCGCGGGGGAGAAAGGAAGAAATAAGGCTTATACTAAAGAACTCAGCTTCTACTGTACTATTTTACATGCATTTTTTTTTAAAACTGCATTTTAGTAGGGTATCACGTGGCGATGAAAGAAGTGTATTCCTGACAATGGAAGCGTTAAGTAACAGTGGAAGTCTTAAGAGAAAGCTACATGCGTGATTTACAGGCGCCGATGCTGTTTTTAAATTTTGCGGGAAATCCAACATATATTTAGACTCATCTGAAAATTCTGTAATTAGTATGGAAACGGGGACCTAATTCTTGTATTCTGTGAAAACGGGTAAGATTGCCTATAATGTAATAATCTTAATCTTCGCTATCGTTACTTTTTGCACGAGCGATGCCGGGCTTATCTGCTAGTTATTGAATAAATCAAAATATTTTATAATTGAAAAAATCTAGAAACAAAGTATAACTTTTCTAGCTGTTATAAGATTTTATTCAAAAAATAACTTTTATATTATTATTAATAATCAATGACATTGAGTATAGCAACATCCGTGACGAAGATTTACTGTGAAAAATTTTATAATACTAATTCGTATAAAATGCTAGTTTTTTTAACTTTTAGGATTGTGATGAGCTTCACAAAAAATTGTAAATGCTCATAAGAAATTAAATCGTCAATAAGTCAGATTCCGTTCTACATACAACACGTGACTCCTCTATTTCTTTATTATCTTCATTCTTCACCAAATTCTATTAGTTTAAATGCCCTTCATACAAAAGCTATCATGCTGAATGCTATTTCTTAATTGTTTATTCTATTCTGATATATTAAACGTAACAAATACCAATGCACGCAAAGGCATGCATATTCAAGGAAGTTTATTCCTTTTTAACAATTTTGATTTCGGTCGGTAAAATCATTGAAATTTGCAAACAATTGGAGAATCAACTTTGATATCATTCCAACATTTCCTTTTCTTATATATATACATAATAGTAGGGAATGTAAGACGATACGAGATTTTGACATTAAAATTATGTTTGTTTTTATTTTTTTTTAAATTAACAAAAGATATCGATAATTTTGTATGAAATTCTGTTCTTACTGTAATTAAATATTAAAGTATGTTTTATTTACGATGCAACAATAAATGAATGTCCAATGACTTTTCATTAGTGAATATTGCAGGACAAATGTGACAGTTGAATAGGCACGCAGATGATTGGTTAGAAGTTCTGTTCGAAACGGTTTGTTGTTCTGCACTTTCTGAACAGAAACTCTGAAGATATTGTTTTGATTTTTCACTTTCGTTTAACAGTTTGTCATTTTCTGTTTCTGAATCTATAATTTCTATTTCAGTTTTATCTTCAAATCTCGCTGAATCTCTTAAATTTATTGTCTCGATTTGTTTTGTTGAACATTCACCTTCAGATTCCTCAACAACAGTTTGGGAACTTTCAGATTTTTCTGTAATTTCCTATAGAATAAAATTTTTAGATGTTACAAAAATATCTTTCACAATTAAAAAAACTGTTTAGTATTAAAACCATTAAACCGATATTAAAATAAATTCTGGATCTACTGAAAGTTTGTCGTTTAGTTTATTAATAAACGAGCAAAAAATTATGGAAAACATTTAATTCCATTTAAAATCATTTAAAAGTAACAAATGCTTTACTTACAAAAACAGCATATTCTAAGATATGTTACCATAAAGAGAGCAAAAATCTTTTCTAAATTGAAAATAGGAGTGAGATAATTTCAATTTCTTTGTTATAAGTAATATATTTATTGTTGTAATAAGTGTAGCAAAGTTTTTTTTTGTGTCGTAGAATGTGTCACATAATAAAATGATCAGTTCAGTATTTTGTTTCGAAAATTATTAAGTAAATTTCAAGCAAAAACAAATGCAAAAAAGTAGTGTTTCAAACACAATGTCATACGTAAACTTTCTGAATTTAAAAATTATTGTATCAGAAAATGTTTTATCATATAAAATTAATTTCTTGCAATAAGGAAATTACTCCTTGTTTCGTCCAATACTTTTGAGTGCATGGTTTGTCTATCTTGTTTGTTAATGAGAAACAGTACACCAGAAGAAAAGCTCAAATTAAAACCATAAAAATTTTATAAATTTTCATGCTGTCAATCCTGTTTTGGATTTGTTTTTTCTGTGATAAAACTATTTATTGAAATATTCGAATTTTTAAAAATTTTATAAAGCATTAAACAGCTCAGGCTACAACTTTATGAATGACATTATGATTGTATGAGACCAGTCACATATTTCAGAAAAAATATATTAGTTCCACAACACTATCAAGAGGACCGTAGAATAATGTGAAATCTTAATAAGTCTAACATCGTGTGTCCATCCTTATTTCTAAGAAAAGTTTTTTAAAGCCCTTCTTTTCGTCTGCAAGACTAAAAGAAATGACATAACTTTTTATTTTTTACATACTTTTTCTGTAAAAACACTTTTTGTGGGGGGTTTTATTTCGCAGGAATTATTTCCCGGAAATTTTTTTGGATGTTAGATTCGCGTTTAAGCGAAAATAATTATTTCATTCAAAAAATGAATTTTTTGTGGATTTCTTAATTGCATTTGAATCGGAACATGGGTAGCAAAGGAGTTAAACAAATGTGTTTCTGGCCTCTACTACGTTGTAACATTGCCGTGCTGAGCTGAGTTGACCTGGAATGTCGAGCACCTTCCTAAGTCAAGCTGCTCCAGTGTGGATCTTTCTAAATTCATTTGAGTGTGAGATTACGAGGGCACAGGGGTAATTCCCTAATTGCCACTTACACGTCAAGTTTGTAAAACTTGCCCACTTTGTCGTTCGGATGGCTTTTATCGAGTGGCGAGGAAGGTGTGCAAGTCGGCAGGCGTCCTTTCAGAGAGGGAAAATAGGTTTAACAAAATAACAAAGCGTTTATTATACGGCTAACACTAAAATACAGGAGGCTACACAGAGTTAAATGCATATATCTATAGGTTATATAGGCAAGAGGCGATTAACATAAGATTACAAAGTCTATGATTGACAACTGCTTAGTCTATTCTATGACAGCTATGCCTACTTCCCTTACGAGAAAGGGTTGGCAGTCCACTGATAATTACCTCTAAAGTTAGAGGAGTCCTATAGGCGATGATGACAGTTTTTTATGAAAGCGTTGGGCGTTGTCAATGTCTTCTACCGTTGTCTTCTTTGGGAACTAGGTCGAGTTTGTTCCATGGAGGTGCGCCAGACGGGGAATCACTAAGACCGCTTATAACTTCCGTGTGCGAACTCTCGAGCTTCCGGTGGCTCGCTTTTATATCATTGTCGTGGGAAATCTAACACGCGATAGACTTTAGTTGACGATGAGGGTGCATTCTTGACAGCTATGTGTCAACTTTCCGACTGACTTGTTACTACAACCAGTGACCTCTGATCTAATTTCTCCCTCGCCATTTTTTCTAACGAAGACGTTTACATTTTGAAAACAA